GACACGAGCGCACGGCCGTTGTCGCTTAAAATTACTCGCGCGTAACCGTAGCGTGAAAAGAACTCCCTTTCTAGCGCGTCTACAATCGTTTTCGTTGTAGGTGCGCCTATGGGGTACGCTTCGGTCCACCAGCTGAAGCAGTCAGTTACCACTAATAGGTTCGTCTTGCCCCTTGTNAGTCAGTTACCACTAATAGGTTCGTCTTGCCCCTTGGTGTTCTAGGGTACGGTCCCATCAGGTCGATACTGATTACTTCCCACGGCTGTCTAGGTTGGCGCTTGACCATCGGGTCTTCGGGGCGCATGTTTAAGGGCTTAGTACACGCGCAAATGTGACACGATTTTACGTACATGCGCACGGCGTTTCTTAACCCTTTACAGTAGAACCGTTGTTTGACCGCTCGGTGTGTTTCTCTCCATCCGGGGTGACATGATAGGGGGTCGTCGTGGTACCGCCAAATTATATGTTGTACTTTGTCGGTGGGGACGACTACCGGTGTGTCAGCGCCTTTACGAATACGTAAAATACCGTCCAACAAAAAAAAATTCGTCCCTATTTTTCGCGGCCGGTTTTTCGCTTGCTATCGTAAGTTGCGCGTTTAAAGTTTTTATGACCGAAGAGAGCAACCGGTCGTTGTTTTGCTACTCTCGTACTTCCCCCCCCCCGTGAACGGTCGGTCGCAGATCGCGTCGTTTGTCTCGGTAATGGAGTAAATATTATCGAGAGTGGCGGTACGTGGGGACGGCTGTAATGTGGGTGCCCCTATTAAATTGTCGTCGAGGGCGTCTTAGTCGACAGCGGGCCCCTCCGTCGGGTAGCGTGACAACATGTCCGGCGCTTTATTGTGTTTGCCCGGTACGTGTGTTGTGGTGAAATTCAGGTTACCTAAGTGTAGTGCCCACCTGGTTAATTTACTGTTGGTGCCCTTCGATTTGTGTAAATACGTTAACGCGGCGTTGTCCGTATACAATTCAAAAGGGGCATATTCTAAAAATGACCTGAATTTGTCTGTGGCCCATATGATCGCTAAACACTCGCGTTCAACAGCGGCGTAACGTTTTTGCACATCCGATAGCTTCCTACTAGCGTACGCGATAATATTCCTTTCGCCCGGGCCGATGCCGTGCTGAAACAATACCGCTCCCACGCCTAGTTCGCTAGCGTCGGTTTGTAGGCAAAACGTTTTTGTGTAATCCGGGGGAGAGAGGCGTGGTGAATCGCATATCGCTGTTTTAATGTGTTCAAACGCGCTTTGCTGTGTGTGGGACCACGACCACTTTTCCCCTTTTTTGAGCAGTTTAGTAAGGGGGTCTGTGCTGTCCGCGTAGTTATCGACGAACTGGCTATACCAATTACATACCCCTAAAAATCTGCGTAAGTCCCTGACATTACGTGGGACTGGTATGGCGCGTATGGACTCAAGTTTTTCCGGTTCCTTATCGATGCCCTCCCCATGCACCAGGTGTCCCAAAAAAGAAATTTCAGAGAACCCGATTTTACACTTTTTTGTGTGGCACGTGAGACCATGTCGTTGTAGGCGCTCCAAAACTTTACTAAGGTGGTCTAAATGGTTTTCCACGTTGTCCGAAAATATCAAGATGTCGTCCAGATAGACCTGCACAAAGTCGTTTATATACCCCCTAAGTACTTCGTTCATAAGTCGTACGAAGGTCATGGGTGCATTTTTAAGTCCAAACGGAAGTACACGAAATTGAAACAAGCCCCTCCTCGTTCTAAACGCTGTATATTTTCGCGCGTTTTGTTCAAGTGAGCATTGCCAATAACCTGATTTTAAATCTAGTGTCGTGAATACTTTCGCCCCCCGCATACTTCTAATCATATCGTTTAGATTGGGCATGGGGTACGCGTCTGAAACGGTCACTTCGTTGAGTCGCCTGTAGTCGATGCACAAACGAGAGGAGCCGTCTTTTTTCTTGGCCAGGACGACTGGTGCCGACCAAGGCGAGGTGCTGGGTTCTATAAGTCCCTGTGATTCCATATCATCTACCATTTCGTCTATCGCCTCTTGTTTGTGCAGAGGGTACGGGTATGGTTTCAATGCGATGGGTTTCGAGTCTTTTAGAACGATATCGTGTTCGATTAGCTTTGTGCGTCCCACCGTGTTATTAAAAACCGCAGCGTATTGTTTCACTATGTGAGATAATAATTCGCGCGAATGTGGGTCGCCTGCTATATCTATGTTTGGCAGATCTATACTGTGGGGGGTGCGGGGAGCGCTTGCTTTCCAGCACGCCGTAGTACGTCGTTTCGCGCCTAGATGTATTGTGCACGCAGCATAATCCCAAGAGACTTCCTGATCGGTCAGAAAATCATGCCCTAGAAGTACGTCACAGTACAGGTTGTCTAAGATCACGGCCGTAAAAGTGATTGTCAGATCTGCGATGTTCGCGGTAAAAGTAGCGGTGCCGGCGGTGGGTGTCGTGTGGCTGTCTGCTAATCTAACCGCGTGTGTGGGTCCTTTGCGCACAATTCCGTATTTATGGGCTATTGCCGAGGTGGTATATGATTTTTGCGCTTGTGAGTCAAGTAATGCCGTCACAAAGCCGTTGTTAAATTCAAGTTCCACAGCGGGAGTTGTAATAATACGCGGGCGTGTTTGTTTGGCAAAACTCGGGTGGTTTACGGTTCGAACGGGGAGTGTCTGAACGGATTGTCCGCCGGCGGTGTCAATCGCCATAAGCGGGTATGCCGTCTCGGCTTGTATCCCCTCCCCCACGGTGACCAACATATCGTTGGCCCGACTTGCGCTATTGTCGTATAACACGGAGACTTTTGTTTTCTCGGCCGTATGACTAATATTTCTAAAAACCTTGAGGACCGCATTGTGTCCCTCACTGTGGGTGGGGGATGCGGTGAGTGCGTTTAAAGGGGCTACAGCTTGTCCTGAGTTGTGCGCGAGGGGCTGTAGTCGAGTTTGAGGGCCCGGTGAACGGGCGAGGCGAGGTGGAAGGTCGTTAAAAATTTCATCATTTTGGCCGAGAGGAACGCGCTCGCTTTCGCTATCGACGATGAACGATTTAGTTATTAGCGCTGCGCGTTGTGTAGTGTGTTTGTTTGTTGACGTATGGAATTGTGTCTTTAAGCTAGAAGAGCGGACTAATTTCTCCGTGGCTGTTGCCCGTTTCCCGAAACTGTCGGTCTATTAGGGCAACTGCTGTGCCAATGATCTGCTCCGCAATATCGGCAGGGTCGTGGGGGGGGCGTTCCGCGTTAAGCGCGCTCGCCCGCTGTCGAAAAACTTGCGGTGGTTGGGGAGGCGCAGGAGGCGGTACGT